TAGTACAAGGATTCAACTACATTAGCAGCACAGGAGTGAAAACTGAAAAAAAGACTACATTAGGTCTAGCAAAAAGAAAAAATAGTTAAGTCGTAGCTGGGTTAGGCCTGTGAAAGTGCTGGTATTTCAGGTAGAGGTCCTAGTTAAGCAAACAAACCCATTTAGGTTTCCTAGGAAAGATGTTAAATGTTCTGTCCATGAAAGCTCTAAGTCTCTTGGCAAAGCTTGGTTTTGCTGGATGATAAACAGAAACAGAATGCAAGACAGGATTTTCTATCTGCGAGATATGAAGAATTTGGCCAAATTTTGCTGGAAAAAGGCATCAAGGGGTAGAATTTTTAGGTCTGAATGGAGCACTTCATCCCAAACGTACCAGTGGGCATTGGTAAGGACACGAAATGTAATGCTTCGAAATACTTGGGTCATCTTTAGATGGGAATTTGATACAGTACACCAGATGGGGATGGCATAAGTCAGGATAGGAAGGGTAGTACTGGTGTAAAGAAGGAGCTTATTCTTGAGGTGGAGGTATGTGATTCTTGAGATAAATTGCATCAGCTGGTTTCTGGCTGTTCTAACTTTGGAGATGGCATACAGTATACGAGTACCCCATAGCAGTTTCAAATCGAGATAAATTCCAAGATATTTGTAGGAGTCAACCCAATGTATGTCTTTATTGTAGAGCTTGAGTGGCTGAAGTTAATTACGAACATTCCTTTTTCTGGAGAACATGGCGACTGCACTCTTGCCGGCATTGATTTTAATTTTCCAGTCAATAAGCCAGGACTCCAAATCTGACATATACCGGATATGTGAGAGTGAGATGCAATGAGTGCTGTGAAATGATTGCTGTGTTATCAGCATAAAGTCTAAGTTTGACACTTGCGGATAGTAGCACACCATTGACTTAAAGATTGAAAAGACTCCAGCCAAGTACTGCCTTGGAGCACACCAGCAAGCACAGGGCAGGGAGATGAGGGTGTGTATTTCATTCTGACAGAGAAAGAATGATTACTAAAGTAAGAGTGCCTTAGGTGCACATAATCAGCCAAAATATCAAGTCAAATGAGCTTGTAAACTATTCTGATATGCCAACACCTGTTGAAAGCCTTAGCTACATCTAAATAAGCAAGAGCAGCAGGCTTTCCATTGTGAGATGAGCCCAAATGCATGATTTCCACTACTCTCAGTAGGTGGGCTTAAGTGGCCTGTTTGGTACGAATGACAAATTGTTAACAAATAAGAATATGTTGACTTCAGCAGAAATCATTCAGGCAATATAGCTTTGTAGATTTTAATAAGTGAAGAATGGAGGCTGATCGGTCTGTAATTTTGAGGCACCTTAGGGTTCTATCCAGGTTTTAGAACAGAAACGATAGAAGCTAGTAGGAAAATATTTTAGCCTTAGCATGGAATTGATCAAAATTGCTAAATAAAATATAAATTTGACTATGAGATTTTTAATCATGAGATTACAAATGTTATCCAAGCCAGGTGCTTTGCCAGGCTGAGATTTTGAATAAACAAAGAGATCACAGTCATGGATGTTTTCATGTTTTACCCTGAAGTAGAATTCGAGGATTGAAAGTAGAAGAAAGTAGAATAAAGGATAGCCACTAACGCTCTGCTTTCTTGGCATCTGTGAGTGCCATCTGATCATTGACCTCGCCTATTTGGGTGGGGAATGCCTTGTTTCGGTTTGTGTAGTTGAGCAATCGCTTTCCAAAGCCTATTGTTTGTGGGACTGAATGCAATTGATATAATTCTCATCAAAGTATCTTTTGATGTCAGATTTGATCTCATTCTGAAGTCTCTATAGTTGTCAAAAAATTGAAACTTTTGCCAGTCTTTGTGATTTTTGTTTTGTTCTGTGTGATTTTTAATTCTAATATTTTCTTTAACATTAGCCGGTAGTTTAGAACAGTTGGGTCTGAATTTAGGAATGGAAGCTTCATCAAATACACTTGTGAGGGTGCAGTTGAGCCGTTCAATGGCATAGTCAACTTCCTGATTGTTGCCACTTTCAAGGGAAAGCAAGAGTTTTACTTTCTGAAACATGGATAAAATTGGCCCAATTTCTAAATGTGGCAGTAAATTTTGGTACAATTAAGTAGTGGTCGGATGACTGAGTAGTGGTTGGACGACAATTCTAGAATTCCCTTGATTGAATAATCTATTGGTATGTTTTTAAAGAAAGCTAAATCAATAATGGAGGAAGCCCCTATTACCCCCAGGAAACTAGTAATGAGTAGGTGCATCTGGCGCAATAATTTGGATGTGGGTGCTCTGAACCCAGAATTTGAGTTTATCACCATAGTTGTCGGCAGGGACACAATCCCAACTTCAATGACAGGCATTTAAGTCTCCTGCGATAATCAAGTTATTTCAAATTACGCCGAGTTTTTTTAGATCGGGGATAAAGACAATGCCCTGTCTCAGAGGCATGTAGCAGGAAGCTACTGCCTATGGGAGGCAAGAAATTTGGATGATGTTCCCTCTAAAGGGCATGGAAAGTATGAAATAGTTCTCCCAGGCATGGAGTTAGAATTCTGCTATGTTTCACAGTGCATTTTACATGAATGCAAGTACTGCCACTAGCATAAATAGTGTTACTGTTATTAGCTGCTCTGTCATTGCAGTAACAGATATAATTCGGGATACTTGCACTACGTCCCTCAGCCAGATGTGTCTCCTGAATGAGGAAGAGGTCCAAGTGGTGCTCACTGAGATAATCCCAGACTTCATGGATCTTATTAAGAACATTAACGTTCCGGAAGCCAATAAGGATGTTTTCTTGACTTGCCAGATTGAAGTGAAGTCATTAGTTGCAGAGGATGAAGTAAGCTTCATAAATGTAGAATACCCTTTCAGGCTCTGGGGAGTCACTACGAAGCTTTGGAAGGTCATTCTGGAAAACGTTGAGCAGGAGAGAGTGATCTATTCCAAACTCTTTGGCTCTGTACAGGATCCATCATCTGCAGCAGGGCCTGGTGTACTGAATGGTAGAGATTGTAACAGAGTTCATCCAGGATTTTGTACGTTTGGAAGCAACTCAGTAAAGAGGTGGGGGGGAGTGAGCTGCTACATAGAGCAGGGCAGGAGCTGGAATAAATTTTGAAGTTCTGGCACCTTCAGAGGATTTCGGATTGGATTTTTGATTGCCTGTCTGCCTGTTAGATGGATTTCTTGGGCAATGGTTCCAGTTGGTAGCATGAGGGCCAGAGCGGTTCACCCAGGTTTCTCTGCCTCCAGATCTTTTGTGCAGGCCGGAGCACTGTAGGCATTTGATGGGAAGAGTGCAAACCACAGAGCTGTAGAAAAAAACCTTGGCACATTCAGCCAGCAAGATCTGATCTGAAACCTGGTGATCCAAATATTCTACATCAGCCACTAGTTGATAGCAAAAACATATTTCCACCTCCACATATAAAACTTATATAGGTCTCATGAAGCAATTTGTAAAGCTGTATCAATTGATGGAGACTGTTTCAACTAGCTTATTTTGGCATTTCCTAAATTGTCATTTGAAATTATAAAGGCTAGTGTGTTTGATAGTCCACAGATTCAGCAGCTCCTTAAATATGAACATTTTACTGGAACTATGACAGAACTTCAAAAGAATGCATAGCTGGCATTCAAAACATTGTCAAAGACTTTCTTGGAAATGACAAGCACAGAATTACAGCTAAACTGTCTGCAACTTTTTAACAGTTTCAAAATGGTTGCAACATGAGCACTAAACTGCAGATGGTGCATGTATGTTTTTGAGCATGCTGATTAATTAAGTTTTGATTTGTCTATTTTTTTTAATTTTACAGTAAGTGTAATTATATTTAAGGCATTATTAGTATGAAATAGTTCTTATTAAAAAGTAATTTAACATTTTTAATGTCAGATTTAAGAAATTTTGAATAAATTCTTTTTGTGGAATATAATGTCCCAATCATACTTAACAGTGGGTTAATAAGTTCTATCAGTGATCAAATTACTACATGCTGATATATCACGTTTGTGTTTATGAAACATATATGAAAATTTTTGTTATATATGAACTAGTGCATTAGACAGAGTTTACTTTTGTAATATTCACATTATGTATTACCATAAATTTTATTTTTGTTTTCAGAGAAAGATTAATATCCTAGATGATTGGGAAAAATAGTCCCAGTTGACAATATGATTGGGACCAGGAGATTTCCAGGAAACAGGACAAGTTAAAAGCTTTAAACTCATATTACACTTCTTTTAATATGTCAACATTAAATTAAATTACTTTTCACGGTTAAATTTTAATCCCGTAAAAGTCGGGTCAAAATGGTTAATATGTATGTTCACCATTTAGTAAAAATACTTTACTATTTGTATGAACAAAATTTAACTTGCAGTAACTATACACAGCCATTGTATGAATAAAACTATTCTTTGTGAACAGTATATTTGTTTTCTCTTTATTTTCCTTAATATGAATACTTTGTATGGCTTTTAAAACATAGAGAAGGTATCCTGTAACTGATTAAGTTTCACACCAAATGTTACAAAATTTGCTTTTCAGGCATAATTCGAGTTGTAGAATCGAAACATGGGAGAAAATTAGCATGTCATTTCAGAAAATATCTCACTTTGTGTTAAAACATGTAGGTTAGAACAATCCTATATATACAGATCCAATAGTCATGCTTTGATATATGAAAAACACAAGTTGAATTTCGTCAATCAGCCAAGTAGAATGGGAGGTCTGTCTCATTTTTTTGACTGAGTGTACATTAAATAAAGGCAAAAATTTTTATGACATTTGGGTAGTATTCATACATAATTAAAGGAGAAGAAAGAAGAAACTGTGTACAAAAATAAGCTTTTGAATTAAAAATTTGTACAGGAGCTTCAATATAAAAATATGGACTTATTTACAAAAAAAGCTATGAATTATCATGGCCACTAATATAAGCAACCACAATGAAAAGGCTTTTAGAAGCCCATTAAATGAAAACTTTTATACATACTCTGGCAGCTTCTTGAGCATTCAACATCTCTTGAGTTTCTGCTAACCTTATTTTAGCACTTTGAGTACGTCTTTCACTATCTGCTACAAAATTTCTGAGCTGTTTTAATGCCTAAAAATACAATACGTATAAAATAATCACACACATGTATAGTCATATAAACTGAGTGATAATTGTGATTTTCCATGATTATTTTAATCTTATACATAAATAAAAGAGAAATAAATAAAAAGTAAAAAAAAAACAAAATGCGTTAAAAATTGATCCTATATTCAATTTAGAATAACCACATGTAGCTACCAAAAAAAGGCATGTTACCAAAAACATGCCAAAACCAAAAATGATATTTACATTTTCCGCTGCATCATCATCAAAGGTTTGGTGCAACAAAAGAAGCAAATAAATAAAATAACTTGAACAAAAGAAGTAATTAAATAAAAAACCTGTTTCTAAACTTACAAGGACACAAATAAAATTTAAAAATAATCTTAAAAAAACAATAACCTCAGAGGAACAATGAAAGTAATCTGTGTCTGTAATCAGTCCAACTCCTATAGGATGAAGAAAGCAGTGAAAAAACTGTAGCATCAAAAATATTGACCAATTCAAAAAGACTGTGTAAATTCAAAAATTTTAAAAGTGAGTAGAAAGGGCTCAATAAAACTTGAAAAAATAATAATCCAACACTTGAAAAAACAAAACCATATACAATTTTTTAAAAAATTCAAAATTGAAAAAAATAAAACTACATAAAAATTTTGAAAATATATACTTAGGGTTAAAAAATAAAGCATAATTCACAAACAGCTTATAAAATATAAAATATTAAAAAAAATTAAAAATCTAATAAAATTTTTTTAATGGACCAAGCCCAAAATTTATGTAAAATAGAAGTAATCCAACATATGCAAAAATAAAAGAAAAACAAAAATTTGATCTAAAAAATATAAAATAAAAATAATAAATACAGGAATCAGTTCTTAAAATCTGTAACACAAGAGCAACAAAAGTTTTGAAATGAAAAAATATATATACTTATGAGCCTAAAATCAGCAAAGCCTAAAATCTGTTAAGATAAAATATCAATTTAAAACTGCTAAAGCTCAATAAAATTAATAGAAAAAACTTTTACAGTAGAAGTAAAAATGAGTAATATGAAAAGAACATCGAATTGCCTGGATTGTGAAGGATGAATAGAGACTGAATTTTAAACATATTTTTTATTTTAAATTTTATATACTATTCACCGACACATAAACAAATACACACACATACATATAAAAGCCAGTAGTGGAATTCAGCCCCAGTTTGCAATGGTGTGGCAGATCTGCTTCCCAAAAAAATTTTGATATCTGAAAATATCAAGCCACAGCCAGTTATTAAAATTATAATACTTATTCAGCCAATTTGCTTAATTAGTAGCTAATTATTGTTTGACTAAGCAATCAACCAGTTCTTAAATTATTTGAATCCCCCTCATTAAGCAAAAAGTGCTTATAAATACTTTTTTTTTTTTTTTTTTTTGGTTCTTGAATTTACAATACGAAATTTCATAAATTTTTGTTTGCTCAGAAGAAAGCTGAATATATATTCCATGCAAGCTGCCATTTAATTATCTTTCTAAAGTAGTCTTAAAACTTACATTTGCATTCATAAGGAGCAATATTATTACCATTTTAAATTGTACTAACATATTCTACCAAGCATTTGCAAGAACATAATATATTTACTCACAAGTACTTTTTCTCCAGCTTTTCTGGCATATGATTTAGAAACTTAACGATTTATGGCAACAATATAAAATGTATAAACAGAAACACAAATATAGTGTCCAAATGAAAAAGAATATAAGGGAAATTAATTATGTTTTAATACAGAATGAATTAAGAACAGTATGTCTTTATGCATGCTTTTCAATGTGTTATATTTTTCATGTAAACTGTTGTCTCAGTTGTATATATCATACAACTTTTTCCTCTCAATATTCAAGAGGTAAAATTAGTCTAAAAAAAAGGAGGGGGATGCACTGCATAAAAATGTTATTATCTTAACTTTTGTTATCTTTATAATCTTATCTTTTGTTCTCAAACTGCTTATGAAATTCAGCCATCAAAGAGATTCCCTTAAAATATTAATAAATTCAAAATGGCTTGTTTAATTGAATACTGCTGGTAGATTGAGTATTATCTGCCTGAAGAGCATACTATCTACCTAAAGAGAGAAATGACTTTCAGCCTATGAAATACATCTTGTGCTTATGTTACACAAACAGAAAACCATAAAAACATTCATGAACACATAATGCTCACAAGGATATAAAAAAATCAATTATTACAGTTTGATGCTCTTATCCACTCGGCTACTGGAAGGTATGCATTAAAAGAATCTATATTCTGTCCTAGAATTTAGAAAAGGGATTTTTAGCATTCCTGTCCTATTTTTGCCCTAACAATTTTCATTCAACACGTACATTCCACTCAAGATGTAAAATTAAAAAAATTTAGTTATAAAAGTTCATGACACTTAATAAGAATCCAAGCAAAAAGACTCACTTCATTGCCTCAAACTGCTTGCCATTTTGAATGATTACTGATGTTGCTGTACAGTGCTGCTGAGAGACCATTCAAGCATTCTTTTGGGGAGATAAGGATGTTTTTCATTATAAGGAGCCATTTTTCTCCTCTTTCCATCAGTTGATGGCAGCAATGCTGCATTAAAATTGTTTCTTACCAATTTTTACCAGTATTATGATGAATTATTAAACAGTTTATTCTGGACCACGATGATTAGACAGATTATTCTCCCCAGTGGCATAGCTAGGATTCCAGCGCCCGGGGACAACTGAAGAATTTGTGTCCCTTTCTGTGTGCCAAGAATGGAAAACATTTCATTAAAAAATTTCGTAGCATCAATTGGGTGCTGCCTGGATGTTGCACCTGGGGACAGATGTCCCCCCTTGCCCCACACTAGCTAGCTACCACCGATTTTCACTAATAAATGGGTAAAACTCAGCTGCAGCATGAACAACTACACTTAACTTGTTGCCATACATTCAGTGTCATTTTGACGAATGATATGAGCTCAAACATGACCCAAATTCAAAACTTATTTGAAATGGAGGGAAAAAAAAAAAAAAATTCAATCTACCATTTCTCAATTTATTTTACAGTACATAGTAACGCATTAAATTTACTTCAGATGTGTAGCCACGAGTCTGACTTCCCTGTAAATTAAAAGTTCATTATATTTGAGGACATTTACTACAGTACAAAGTCTCTAATCCGGACGTCCATTATCCGGAATGATCTATAATCCAGACCTCAAAGCCACAAACTTACGCATGCGCGTTTGATGCACAAGTCGTCTATGCATGCGCATAAAGTGTTTACCCATGCACGCTTTCGATAGTGAAGAAAGTAACAGAGAACGTTATTAAAAACGAAAAAATTTCGATTCACAAGTTAGTCGGTATTCTCTACACAACAATTACAGGACTTAAACAGTGGAACTTTGTAACTGAACAAGAAATTATGTCTGTTTATAGAATTAAAGAGAAAGTATTATCACAAAAAATGAAGAAACTTAAACAACTTGCATTGATAAAAATGTTTACTAAAGTAAACAAATAAATATTAAGCTCTTTTCTTTGTAAATTTTGATACCCTTTAGATCATAATTGCTCTTTATTTTATAAATTACGGTTTCATATTTTTAATTGTATAATTTCTGCATGCCCTCATCTTACCAGATTTAAATTGATGATCTATAATCTGGAAAAACATCTAATCTGGAATCGCCGAAGTCCTGACGAGTCCGGATTACGGACTTTGTACTGTAATACATACAGTACTTATATTTTAAATATAAATCCTGAAATATTTCCACTAGTTTTTTAACAAATGTCTACCATTAATTTTGCAACCCTTCTAGATCAAGTGTTTACTGCAGTGCTGTACATGGTATTTCTGCTACAGTTTAAGTCTACTAAACTGAGATAAATGCAGAACTACAGGTCCAGACTACAAATTTTTTGTCAGTATACACAAGAAAAATGAGTTTTATTTTACTTTCACTGCTTCCTTTATATTAACATGTATGTGCAGCAACTTCAATTTCCATACAACTGCATTATTATCAACTCAAAATTAACTCAAAATTTTTCAAGAATCATTTCCTTACACTGTATATATTTTGTCTATATAAAACAATCACAAAGAGTACTTATTTTATTTATCAGCTTTGCATGGTATCATTAATTAAAAAAACTATGCAACTTCTGTAAAATACACAAATCCGTAATAAATTCCATTTAATATATGGTCTACTGGAAAGTTCTGTCCGTTTTTGGAATAAAACAAAATACAAATTTTTCTTACCCTCAATAAACTTTATTAAAATAATATAATTGCCATTATTATTAATGACTTCTCTCCAGCGTGAGGGTAATTTGTATATCCCATTTTTGGAAAATGATGTAACTTTCGATGTAAAAAATTGGGTTACCAGACAATAGCCCACTGAGATAAATGCCCACGCGACAAATACCCACAGCGATGAAAGCGACCATTGATAAAAGCCCACACTGATAAAAGCCCACGTTGATAAAAGCTCACATAGATATAAGCCCATGCTGATAAAAGCGCACATAATAAAAAGGGACTTATGCTTTTTTACTACTAAACCGTGCATTTATAATTTTAATTATAATAAATGGAGAATTATTCAGATCTGAATTTTAATGTCTCAAATATATGTCTGTTTGTATATTTTATCACTCCTTTATTTGTTTAATTCATCAGGTTGAAAGCAAACTTTCTACTCTCTGATTAAGTGATTAGCTATAAACGTTTCGATGATAAATCTGCAATTGCATTTTATTATTTATTTACTTATTTAACTTTGTTATGAGCATGTGAAAATGAAAAATACATTGTGCAATTTCTCACATGCTATTTTTAAGGTAATATGGCTAAGATTAAATATAATTATATTTCATTATTAAAACAATTAACTTTTTAATTAAAAACACTTGAATTTTATTTTATTTCTTTTTAGTTTTTTCTTTAGTTCCTTTTTAATTTAGGAATATTAAAACAGTTTTAGCACAATGA